ACACATACACACACACACACACACACACACACACACACACACACACACACAGGAAGTTTGGAAACATTTGCCTCAATAGCCCTTTCTCAATAGTCAAGCTTCCGCCTCCTAGACTCCTCGGGTAGTGACCCGGAAATCGATTTCGGCGCGCCATGTTGAAGGACATCTAATTTCTCTAAATGCACATCGAGCATCGAGGAGGCTCTCTGGAGGAGCTCTAACCGAGGATACACTGATGTATCCTCCGGGGATGTCTTTCAGGCAAAAGTGATGTTTAAAAGGAGGCGTGACGCACGGCTGGACTTATCTAAGCCAATGACAGCTCTGCATATTGCATTCACTGATATTAAGCTACTTATGTTTTTAATAGAACTGCTTTAATCACGACACAATGTTTACAGTGAGAACAGCTGCTGAGGTCAGTGCAGAAAGCAGAACAGTGAGTATAATATACATCCCTCAATAATATATATATAACAGGCCTAAATTACTCTCTTTATTTGTAGGCTTTAGTAGATATATACAACAAGATAGATATCTTTCTAAAACCATATAGTGCTTCACATAATAAAATACACAACGGCTGTAGCCTGATATGCTGTAGGTTGTACAGTGTGTAGGAGTGTGTAGGTGTGTGTTGTACAGTGTGTAGGAGTGTGTAGTACAGTGTGTAGGTGTGTGTTGTACATTGTGTAGGTGCGTGCGTACATGCAGTGGACAGACGGATCTCAGTTGGTCTTAAAATTTGAATTGAGAAAGGGTGTTTCAGGTATGCTTGTATACCTCCATCTCCTGCTGTGCGATGCTGCAGGCGGCTCCCAGCCCAACAGCCAGAGGGGTGGGGACGGTGCCGGAGCGCAGCCCCCTCTCCTGCCCGCCCCCGTTCTGCAGCGGCTCCATACGCACTCGGGGACGCCGACGCACGTACAAAGCACCAACACCTGTATACACACACATACTGGCAATGTAACTTCAAAAGCAGGTCCACTGAAAGCACCACAACTTGCCTCCCATCTGTTCTATTAATACGTGCTGCTTACTCTTTAATAACATGTTTTACTTACTTTCAATTTCACTATAACGGCTTTCACCTGTTTCATATCAATGACATTTTATACACTGCTTAAATCTCTTCAAATATTGTCAACACTTGACAGAGTTTGCACTCAAATTGAAACTTGAGCTTCCTTTGATACTTTCACTTTCTCTCAGTATTTGGATTGCATCTGCAGCTTTAACAGTGTCAGCCATTTCACATTTCAAGTTGTATGCAATTGGAAAGCACTGTGAACTGCCACATTGATGCAATGAGCTGCATTAATAGACTGTCTAATTAGATAAAAGCATATCTAGACCAATGCTACGGCTAACCTTTGGGGCCGTAGAGCTTGTGGCCGCTGATGGACATCAGATCAATCTTGTTGTCTGTGACGTCGAGGGGAATCTTCCCAACAGCCTGAGCGGCGTCAGTGTGGAGGAAGACTCCCTTAGAGCGACAAATCCGACCTGTGGACGGAAGGAGTACAGATTAATTATTTAACAGTTTCGATCAGAACACTAAATTAAATCACAGACTTAAAAATATAAGTACAGGAATCTGATGAAGGATCTACATGATTCCTCTCCTCTACGTTTGGCCTTTAAAAACACACACAAAAACAAAACAATTTAAGACGTAAATATTTGAAAACGCTTTCTTGGGTGCAAATGTATCAATATATTTTAAAACTGTTATGCAGATATCGATTTATTATTTGTAAAATTGAGTATTTGGGAAATTATGACCGCAATTTGTGCATGCCCATTTTAGTTTTGAGTAATACATTTGCACTATGAAACAACAAGAATTGTGGACTACTGTCTAATGACTACTTTACATTGTGACTTATCAATGCTGCACCTCTTCAAATACAAATGGAGGTGTCTGCTGTGCCCAATGTTATTGAATCTTGAATGTCAACCTGGCCTGGGTCATAGGTGAAACACTGTATGTGGTCATTCTAAAATGTGATTCCTGCCCAATGTGTGGAGCGAATAACGTGTTGCCATGCTTACCAATCTCCTTCATGGGCTGATAGACTCCGATCTCGTTGTTGATGGTCATCACCGAGAGCAGAGAAGTGTCAGGACGGATGGAGGCCTCCAACAGCTGGACACACACACACAGTTTTTTATAGAAACAATGACTTGTGCATCTTGTCTGTACTCCTTGTGTATTTTTTCTCTTTGTTTACCTCCAGGTCCACCAGTCCGTTCGACTGGACTGGCAGGTAGGTGATGCTGAATCCTTCAGACTCCAGGACACGACAAGAGTCCAGAACACATTTATGCTCCGTCTGCGTAGTGATCACATGACTCTTCTTGGCCTTGTAGAACCGTGCCACTCCCTGCAGGAGAGGAAGAGGCAGGGTTAGCACTGACTCTAAAAACTGGGCTAAAACTCAGTGTTGTTTTTCACTGTACTCCAAAAGCAGATATCACACATTCGAGTAGAATTTGTTTCCATCCACAACCGTTATGTGATTATATGGGATTTGTTCACTAATGTAAGCCTATTCTATTAATTTAGAAATATATTAAAAGAGAACTAATCGAGGGGACGCAGGGCAAGGGAGTCGACATTTGTGAAAACTATTTTTTTTTTTTTTTTTTAAAATGGTTTGTGTCCTGCCTCAGTTTTACTTGATCTTCTCTGTCATGAGTATAAAGTAAACTGCTCCACAAAAGGGCTGACAGTTGAACTGAACTTTCCTGTTAGCAACCAAATCTTTGTTTTCCTTTCTCAATAATGTTTTGTTTGTTTAAATAAAATAAAAATGCACCACAGTGCAGAGAAAATATAGCAAAGCTCAGAGAGCTATTGTGACCAAAAACGAGACGGAGTGATGAAGAGGAGGAGCTGAGTGAGACCTTGATGGCCATGTTGTTGGACTCGGTGGCTCCGCTGGTGAAGATGATCTCTCTGGGATCTGCTCCAATCAGATCAGCCACCTGCTGCTCAACGAGAGAGAAAACACACAGTCAGTTTCTCTTTTTCTCCAATTCAGAGTTAATCAAATTATATACACAACTAAGTACACATTTTACGTAACAAATAAACATACAAAAATGTAAAAAGTAAATAATGGTTTACACCATACTACACAGTGCATTGTTATGAGCACAAATTGTTCAGAATCAGAAACAAGTTACAAAGTATTTATAAAAGAACCAAGTGATGCAGGGATGATACATTTTTTGGCCAACCTGGCACTTAGAATTATCCTGTTTCCTCAACCAAAATGCAGTTATTGTTTAATACTAGAGAAAATAAGTTCAGTGGCAAACAAAAGGTTTTGATAGCTACACATGTAGATAATCCTCATGATTAAAACAACTTGAAAATAAAAAAAGTAAAATAACTTTTGTTAAGCTATAAAAACTACACAATGGCCCTTTGACCTAAGTCACCACCACTAGCCTACAGACTTTGCTTGCTTAACCTTTTCTACAAAATCCTTTCCTCATAGTTTGCCAGATCACAAATAAAAACACAAAAAGACTGTAACGGCTGGTAAACCTCTTAAGTCTCATTTAGCCATCACTTTTAAATAAAAGCTTCATAAGTGGCATTTACAGACATTTCATTTAGTAATTTAACATGTTGTATGGAGTCATCTAAATGTGTTTACCGCAGACCGTGTTTCAGGCATCTAACCAAAATCCTATTTTAAAAAATATTTATTTTGAGATGAGGGAACCAGAAATGTAAAACTGCCGAGTCATTTCCTGGATTCAGGACTCATTCCTGCAGCAGACGATTATATAATGGGTAGACATTTACTAGAGCTTTTTGAAAACCTTTTTTTCTGTTTTTGTATAACTTGATTGTTTCTCTAATCCCTACCTTCCTGGCTGTCTCCATGGCATTCTCGCTTTCCCATCCAAAGGCATGTGTTTTGGAGTGAGGGTTACCGTAGTAATTGACCTGGAAGGGCAACATGGCGTCCAGCACCCGGGGGTCCTACCCAAAGAAATACATGTGTAAAAAGTCATGTATTGATGCAAGATCAAGTGCATGCATGTATGGTAACACTATGTATTCAATTGAGGCACATGCATACAATAAAGTAACACTGTAACATGTAATTTGTTTGTCTTGTCTTTTTGATAGCTACAGTATGTCTATGATTGTATTGTGTGTCTGTCTTGAAAAATGTGTAATAAAATCTAAATATATATATATATAAAAACAATAAGTCAAAAGTGGCAGTTAGGCCCCTTTCACACCAATGCGGTTCCCGTTCTAGCTCTGTGCTTGCGCTCTTCTGGTTCGGAACCAGCTTTTCTTTTCAACCGCCGTTATAAAACACCGCCCAGAGCCCGACTGGTGCGGCCGTGGCTGCGTTATCACCTCGCCGTTTACGTTGCTGATTTTCTTCCCAACGGCGCTCACAATAACAACAATGTTGCTTTTAATCATACGAAGCCAGATTAAATTAAATAACTACTTCTCAACCCTTGTACTTTTCTCCGGAGTGCCGTGTTTCATTGTTTATTAATGTGGTTCAGCGGCATTTACCGACCGCTGCAGTGCTGCCCGCTGTTTTGCATGTATTGATTCCATCCGATAGCTGCTATAATACAAAACGTCTGCCTGCTCTCCACAATGATCAACGCAGCGAACGGATGGTCAAAGTAAGGTACAAATAAACAGAATCACACTAAGCCTGGTTAGTGTTGCCTGACTTTATAAAGTGTGTGGTTGCGTTCAAGTCACTTTGCTCAGGGCTACTGCTTGCTACAATTTTTATTGGCCAGGTTGATCCCGCCCATGCCCCCGCCTCCGACGTATGCGGTTCTTGCTTCTAGACCGACAATTTTTTGGAGCTTGCAGAAGAACCGGTTTTCGGGGCAAAGACCCGGCTCCGCTGCGGTGTGAACAGGAAAAACCTGATGTGCTGATCAGGCTCTAGCTCCGAACCGGCCCTGGAACCGCGTTGGTGTGAAAGGGGCATTAGGGTCAGTTACTCATCGGGCGTCCTCTGATGACCTTGTGACCAAGACAATATGATTGGTAGCAGTTACCATGGGTGTGGTGGCCTGGAAGTCCATGTAGAGCGGGCGCAGCTCATCTTTCTCCATCAACTCTACAGCACAAAAATAAAAATAAAAACTCATTACAAATGCCTTTACAACATCATTAATAAAATAATAGAATTAATGTGAAATGTAACAACATTTAAAAAGGTAAACAAAAGTAATTCAGTTATGGTGTCAGCTTTTAAAACGTTCCCACCCTTTAAAAAAAAAAAAAGGATGAATAAAATAGTAACTAAATAGGCATACCTTCATAAACATGAACAATGTATTTGGTAAGTGTTCATTTATTGTATTTGGTTATAAATAATGATAATCCATTACATTTCAACACCAAACGAAAGCCAGCTGCTTTCCACAGTCAACCGTTTAAACTGATCTGCAGATCCTGGACCAAAAAACTGCATTGGATAAGAGGCAGGTCACGCCATTACTTAACTATTTCAACTTTCTTATTTCATTACATTTGGTGTTTGTATTACTTCTCGTACACCTTCTATTCATTACTCTTGTATTGGTTAGGCTTAAAATGTTGAGCAAGCTTTGGCCCAGTACGCTATTTCAGGATAAATAAAGTTATTTTTATTTTTATTTTAAAGGACTAAAAATATGATATTAAGTGTAAACATTTCTGTCAATTAATTTTCTGTCATTCAACTTATTCTCGACGACCTGTTGTTTTGAAGTCATTTTGCATTTTTAAGGCCTTCTTCTCACCTTAAAAGCAGTGATCACATAACGTTACATCAATTATATACTGTGAAGTACTCAACTGCGTCACTTTTGGATTATCTTAATGTTAGCTGCTATGTGGCTCTAATAATCAGCTAACGTGCTCTTACTTTTCGGTTGAGAGCTGGCGGCTCTTCCCAGCCAGAGAGGGAGCCTGGAGGCTGGCCTGAGCAGCAGCGAGGTGACGGTCCTGCCCTGGGAAAGCATCTGGACGGTGGGTTGGTTTCAGCTGGAAACACGCTGACCTCCGGTAACAACAACACGCTGACCGTGAACACAGCACTGGAGTACACCGGTTTGAACCCGTACGACCTCCTGGTTTACGTGGAAGAAACGGATGGGTTCACGATTCAAGAATAAATGTTTAACGTGAGAGAAGTTTGGTTTAGTTTGAGAAACGTTGTCCCGTTTTAGTTTATATGCATGTTTTGCTATTCAATCGCTGTCAAGGTAAACATGATAACAACTAGCACTTCCTGTAATGACTTTCAAAATAAAACGTTTTATCACTTAAAAAAAGGTGTAAGTGATGCAAAATAGTTTGCATGGTTGTTGATGCAGAGGAAATGTGGTTACTACGGCAGCTTAAAGATACAATTAGAACAGATGAATATAGAGATTAAATAAGTTTAAATTAAGATATATATAAACCGATATTAATGGAGTTGAATAAAAAAAAATGGAAAACCATATGAAGACAAAACATTGCAAGTGCATGATGTGCATCAGACGAGAAGCCAGACTTATCAAAACATACTAACTATGAGTAGGCTAGTGGTAGCATCCTATCCATTTTTTTTTTAAAAACTCTTTAGGTAAATGCTCAAAAGAAGTATGTTTTTTACAATAGACTGTATGTTTTTTTACTCAAACGGTGTAACATTCAATACTATTTTTATATTTATTTTGTGATAACACTTTTTGTCATTCGATATTTTAATTTTTTGGATCGGTTTCTTTATTGTTCGCCGTTTGCATAAGAAATTGTCATTAATAAAATACAAATAAAATTACATTAGATTATTGGAACTATTTTACTTTCTTTAGTTTGCCTTTGTCCTCTGCAGCTTGATCCTGTTATTCTCTGCAGCTTGACGCAGCTCGCTTTTGCTGTTGCACAAGACACGGAAGCGGGGGGTGGGACTTCCTTTTAAACAAACTGAGCTATCATTGGCTGATTTGCGTTGTTTTGGTGCCGTGCGGGGCCTATACGTGTCCTGTGATTGGTCGGAGCCAGGAGTTTATGAAACGTGGGTTCAGCCTCCCACAAAGTTTAGGTAAAACCTTTATATATACAGTCTATGGGTAAAACCTAACTAACAGTCTATAGTCTAAGGTTAAATGATTTACAACTGGAACTGTCCTGTGAAAATCAGGATTTTCAAAATTGTGAGGTCGTCGTCTCACACACAATTCAAGCGATATATTGAGATATTCTAGGAATTAAGCAGCTTTTCAGAATTTTTCAGACGGATTCATTAATATGCTTACATTGTAATTAGCATACAACTATCTGAACAACTGTCACACATTTTTAAAACATTTAGGCAGAGGTGGGCGAAGTGCTTACATAGTTTTAATAGTAAAATTACTATCACAGCGTAGAACTAATCTGTTACAAATATTCTTGCATTCAAAATGTTAAAAGTACAAAAGTATTACTATCAAACTACACTTGAAGTATCCAAATTAAAAGTACTTTCTCTACAGGACCGCCCATTTCAGAATTATATTTATTGTATTATTGTATTAAAATGCATCAATATGTTTAACACGTTCATCAGCTAGTGAATTTTACCAAGTGGTCAATAAGGTTCATCTTAATTACTTGGATTATCAGATGATGTAATGGAGCAATTGAATTTGAGTAAGGAGACGTAAATGTACTTGCTGGCTTTCTACCAATGCATATTTAGGACTATGTATCATTAATTTTAGGAGTCTGATAATGTCATAATAAAACCATTTGTCATATATTTATTGTCAAATTATATATGCAGGCGGACTGAAATGAATATTACTAAAAAGCAATTTATGAAAACAAGATCAAGACGACCAACATCATGTATTGTGTCTGGTTTAATCAGGATTCAAGTAAATATTCTTAAATGATATAATTTGAATACATTTCCCCCCAGTTTCCCCCATTAAAAAGGTATTTCCTGTCTTTTGCATTCCAAAGAAAATCAGGCGGTGGTTACAACTTGTAATCACTCCTAATATAAAACAAAGAAATAGCCTATCAAGCTAATCTACGTACGAATAAATCAGTTTATTTCCCCCTTCTTTTATCTGATAAACAGGAATAATTGCTATGTTGATTAAATCTTCTATTTAAACTCCGAAGCAGAAGGTGGCAGTAACGCTGGTTACCAACCCTCAGTTAAAAACGTTAAAAAAAATCGTAGAAGAAGAAGTATCCTAGCTGTTTGTGCTTACCCATATATATAAAGTGCTAGCCATGCCCATAACTAGCTAGTTTATTTGGAGAAAAAAACATTTATTTGAGTATTTAAAGTAGGAATGGAGGGACCCACACAGAAGCAGTGGACGTCACTTTAAAGGTGAGGATAAAGTATTTTGTATTTTCGTGAAGCTACGTAAAGTGTCAATGAAAGCTAACAAGCCCAGGCTAACACCAGCCACTGTACCGCTGTCTGGAGAAGCTCTGTTGTGATGTTTTTTATAATATCAGTACGTTTTCTCTAATAACATATCTATTGATCATCAGCGTTAATGAATCCCACTGAGTTTCTAGTGACATTATATATCAATGTGTAATAGCAGCTGCTGGACTGGTGGTATTTATTGTGTTACACAGTGATGGAATGTAAATAAAAGTACATATATTCAAGCACTTAACGCTAAGTACAGTTTTGAAGTACTTGTACTTAATTTTAATGTATCCATTTTAAAGTAGTACTTTAGTAACATATGTTGTTCTTATGTTAAACACAATTCAAGAAGAATGCACTTAAAACAGAACAATAAAGGGGAAACAGAATGTATTAACAGTAAAGTCTGAAGCTTAATTATATCATACCTGTATATATTATATCTGGGCAGGATCCCTTTAAATACTTAGATTAACTATGCAAAAACGTTTCAAACACAATAATCATCATACCTGATTTTAAAATGTGTCTACCGTCCTATTTTTAAAAACATGTTTTTGAATTTGCAAACTGAACATACTCTTAATTGCTTGTAACAACCACCAAGCAAGATAATCTCTGTTATCTAGAGTGTTATGGTTTATAGATATATAACTACTCAACGAAGCGTGACGAGGATAAAACGAGTTTTTCTTTGTCAAGTCCATTTATTGCTTTACATGTAGGGGCATCCCTTATTGTCACCATGTGGACACCTAGGAGTCTGTTATTGTCTCTCTGAGGACACCTGGGAGCTCATAATGTCTCCTCTTACATGTCCTCGCTGACATGAACAAAGGTTGATTGTGTTTTAAATCAGCATGTTTATTACTCAGAAAAGTGCCTGACTGTACTATTTGCTTTTAAAGGACTTTACAGTATGCTCTCTGTCCCAAACGGCATATAAGTATTTTGCAACCCTGGCATGGAATATGTTGCATATAGATCTGAGACTTAGTGAATTCATCTTGTTGAATGCTTTTGAATCCTAAATAAAAGAACTAGAGGCAGATTCATTAAGATTTCAATGTTATTCAACTCCTGTTACAAAGCTCACTTTTTGGTAACCAGTCAAATGTGAGTTCCCTATTCTTGGATTTTAGTTCCTTTTCCTCCATCTGTTGTGTTTTTATGCTATGATTATGCGTTTTAGTTATGTTGATTATAATCTTAATCTCAGAATAATTCAAGGTTAATAAAAAACCTGCCTTTTTTAATTCAGAATGGTGGCTAACCTATACAAAGTTTTTCTACCTTTTTTTTTAAATCTTGTTGTGTTGCATCATGTAATGATGACGATCTGGTATAATCTCTAATTGTATTAGCTACATATTTAGTTTAAGTTTATGTGTCATATTTAAAGGTGGGGTAGGTACTTTTGGAGAAACCAGCTAGAGTGCGCTAGAATTTGAAAGTACACAACCGGAAAAAATATGCCACTTCCTTACAGAGCCCCTCCCCCAACACACGAACGCGCACATGACCAATGAGGGCACGAGATAAGTTTGTGCACAGATGGAAAGCTGACAGGCAGGTAGGCCCGGCTAAAATGATTGGTCGTGCTTTTCACACTTTTTTTACAGCGCTACGGCTTCCAGAGATTAATTTTTGAATGTATTTATTGTCAAAGCATTTAATATATTCATTGCTATCGGGATGTTAAGAGCAAAATTTTCAAGAACGCAAAGCACACACCGTATATACATGCATATCCTAGTAGCATCTAGTACATATATTTGAAATAGGTAGAAGATTGACAGCGCATAATAGATGTTATAATATACGAAAATTTACAAATACACAGGTGGAAATTTCACCCTGGCCATGAAACCTCTTGGTCGATCTCGCGCGATCGTTAACTTTCATTGTTGCGCCTTTTTATACGCCTGAAAGGATGCTCCGGGAGGGGTTGTGTGCTCTGGCTCGTGTACTGGTTACTCCCGTGCTCTTTCAAACACGTGTCTACGCTTTCCGACTGTCCGTCCTATCCCGGGCGATTTTACCTCAACCCCAGCAACGAAGTGTCAGGTGCGAAGGTGTCTAGCTCTTAAAAAAATTACATGATAACGTTTATTAAGTTGATATAATTAACGATGCCGCTACGCGATTCTCGTTAAGGTACTGTCATATTGTTTTGCACAAGACTTTATTTAAGTATGTAGGGGGATACTGGAAATTTGAGGTCCCCCGGTATAAGTGGTTTCGTAAAATAGAATGTGCGATCCTCACGAGGATTGAAGCACGATTTTGTAAACAATCGGGCATCCTCCAAAAAAGAATTTTCAAATAAGTGTTTTCTGCGACTCTGGGATAGGATGGGATTCCTATTTAGTGTTCTCACTTGATTCTCACTGCGCCGGGCAAACGATACCTCACGCAGCTAAGAGCCACGTAGCTCAAATCTTTCGCCCAGTCGATCGCCACTAACCCAACAAGTCCCCATCCGGCCAGGGGGCACCTTTGAGTCCGTTTTTGTTAGGGTGTCTTGTAGAGGAGAACCTACCCGAGGGTGGGATTAAACTAGGTACGGTCCCTTTATTGGTTCACAAATTTTAATTCCTATCCCATAAGAGAGGGGAGAGGGGTCTGGTTTCGTTTCGAATGGCCCCTCTTCCTATCCTCGCTCTCTCTCCTCTCTAGGATAAATACCGATAAAGGAACAAACAGCACTAATTAGTCAAGACAACAGCGGACAAACACCCCTCATACACGCCTACCTCGACAAAAGCAAATGTGGACTCTGGCGCCGGATGGAGACTTGCTATCGTTCACGTGCGAGGCCAGTGACGCTGAGCGCAAGATCTT